AAATTATCTTGTGATCAAAGTAGAAAGGAAATGGGTATTTACGAGTTTTTATTAAGTTATGCAAGCTTACATTCAACACTTTAGCTTGCCGTGCCAAAGATATATATCAAAGAAAAAAAAATCATCTTCATTCTGGAACATAGTCCCTTAAGAATAACAGTACTATTCATACAAATTATCAATGAATCGGGCAAAAAAACGTATATATATACATACACGTTTTTGTGAGTTAGGGATACATACACACTGAGTTAGGAGGGCTCTTCCCCTCGTTAAAAAGACAATATTTCCTAAGGACATTCCTTTATCAAATCATTACCGATCATCGTCCTTCTTCTTATGCCTACAACCTTCTCCAATTTAAGTCCTCAATCACAAATATATATATATATATATATATATATATATATATATATATATATATATATATATATATACTGACTTATCTTTTTGAATTTTCCTTCACTATGATGCAAAACGTAACTCGGCTCGAGAGAAATAGCCAATAGTGGGGATCCGTCCGGTAAATCAGGGAAGAGAGAGATATTGAATGTGTCCCTATCTTCTACCTTCTCATCCCTTTCTGGGTCACACCTATCCCAACCTACCCTTATTTTTTTCCAATTCAATTCCCGACCGACCGCCAATAATTCACTTCCCTCCAATACTGCCTTCCAGGATTGTCCTTTTATTAGGCCTCCTCTTATAGATCCCGAGGCTAAGGAGGGATAACTGCTCTCTATTGAACCTTTAATTAAAATTTTCGGATCCAACTGGAATTCAAAGGCCGGATAGCGAAATTTATAGTTTTAGGATGTTTCCGTGGAATAGGTATATTGAATAAATTTCTAATATTAACTGGTCGAATATTTATTTGCTTTAAATTAGATATCAAAAATTAATTTTTATCAAAGTTATTTCATGCATAAACATGTCATTTTTATAAGACTATATTTTTGTTGTTGAATATTTTGGATTCGTTAAAAAAAGTGTTCATTCGAATCGAAGTATTAGTACGGTTATGCAGAGATGTTCGGGCAAGGACCACGCTCAATCGCCAGGTTTTCACTTTCAATCGAATATTTAATCAGAGTAGGGTGTCATAGTAGGGTCTCCTGACAGCTGATGAAAAATTACCTGTCATCAGCCGGATTCAAACCTGGGGCCTACAGCTTAGCAGCACTGAGCTATTTTGCTCCTATATTTAAATTGATAGGAACCATTACCCAATACTAAACAATAAGTGATCGTAAATTTAAATATAAGCAATTTTAATGATGTAGAGATGGTTGACCGTGATATAATATGAGAAGGAGTTAATTGGAGGAGAGGAGGGGGTGCGATCAAATAAATACTAAATTATATAAATAGTATTATTTAATTATTACGCCGACGTTCCGACCCACCTTGCAGGTCTTCATTAGGGCTACAAAAGAGACAAAATATTACATGTACATGGTGGAAATAAAATAAATGACAACTTTTTGACAACAAATCAGATAACTTTTTCTTCTACTTATAATTCATTTATTTTGTTTTCACCATGTACCTTTTATATTTTGTCGCCCTGATGAAGACCTGCAAGATGGGTTGAAACGTCGGTATAACAATTAAATAATAATATATCTATAATTTAGTATTTATTTGACCGCATCTCCCCATCCCTCCCCCACGATCAACTCCTTCTCGTAAGCAATTTTATTTTTTTAATGAAAATCAGCCAGTGCCTAATACAAATAAAACATCATAATTTTTAAATTTGGATTATTTATGACAGTTTTATACTCATTAAATACATGCCCATGTATATCTGATTAATTGAAGAGCATTCCAAATTTATATCTTTGTTGAACTTTTTAAAAATTTATTGGTCGGTGCCAATAATAATATATAACATTTACAAAAGCCTATCATTTATTAAAAAGAAAAGAAAAAGTTATCAAGTCATCAAATACAGTATTTTTGGATTTACTGAAATTAACAGCTGAAGAGCGCAAATTATCGAAAACTCGAACCATCAAGATTTGAACTATCGAGAATCAACTGTATCTATATTTTTTCCTTCAGTTTCATATCTCGCATTAATGTAATATCATTACTATACCACACTAACATTACCGCTGTTATACAATATATTGGGTTGGCAAATAAGTCCTTTCTGTTTTTCAGAGTGAAATAAAACTCAATATATTATAGAAATAAAATTTATTTTAATCTACAATATATTGAACATTATTTAATATGACTTTTGCCCATCTTTCCACTAACTTCATAACGCCATGTTCAAAGAAGGTCTGGAGTTTATTGTTAAAAACTGATCCAAGTGGTTTTTGATGTCCTCTTCCTTTTGGAATTTCTTTCCATTTATGGAGTTCTGAAGAGACAAGTGGTATACATCAAATCATCAATCAATAAGTGGTATTCATTTGGAAATAGGTCTAGTGAATAGGGGAGGTTGGGCTAAAAGTCCCATCTAAGTCTCAGTAATTTATTGCGAATGACCAATGAGATGTGGGGCGTTGTCTTGGTGGAACATAAACATCCTTCCGATTATTCATAACTCTTCAGGATTTTCTCTAAATTCGATGTTACTATATTCGTTGGAAAGCTGAATTATTGTTATCAAAGCAGTATGAATGGCTTACCTTTTTTAAAATAATACAACAAAATATGCCGATAATGAATGATATGTTCTTCCATATTCACAGTGCAATAGCATAAACAATACTAAGCTAGTTTCAACAAGAGTTAACAGATGTAGTTGTTGACATTTTACAATCAGGATAAACAATCCACCTTAGGAATTAATTCATCAGATAAGAAGTGAATCATAGTGACATAAGAATAACAGAAAAATCGAAAGGACTTATATAGCCAACTCAATATATATTAGTGTGGCTGATATAATACAAACTCTGAAATTGATAAAAACAAAATTTATTGCTAAATTACAAAATTTAGAATGCACACAATCACTCAAAATAATATAATTAATATAAACAAAAACATATGAGCTTATTCAATATTAAACTTGGATATTGTAAATAATTGATGTAGTAAATTTTAAATATTAAGATTATATTTCCTGTCACATAAGTAAGAACCCATCAGATGTTCTTCGATTAAGTTAAAAATTCACAGGATTTATTATTCACTTTAGGCAGAACTCTGTTTTATGTAAAGGCGTCTTAATCTGATTAGTTGTCCGGATCCGTCCTCTTCAATAAACTATTGGACAATCTGTTTCAGACCCCCGTCCCATTAGCCATTCACCGCCGTGCCATCCAGGAGACCCCCTAACCTGTTTAATGGAGAGGAGCCAATCAGATGGCGAATTTGCCTGAAATATTCTGATTGCAAGTGACGTCTGATAAATCTTTTCAGTGGACACTTCATCCAATTAGGGCCCACGAAATTGGGTCGTCTCTGTTTCGTCGGATCCTACATTTGGGCATTTCAGAGTAAAAAGAACTTAAGATCGATGTTGAGGCTATAACAATATCCAGCTCGCAATATGGCTTCTGTATCTAGTAGGAGTTATAGAGAGGGTCTTTGGGAAATAGCCAGGTCTTTTTCCTAAGGAACACGCTCCGGCTGTTTAACCTCTTGAAAACCTGCCAAACAGACTCTGGTATCATTGTAGACCGAACGCATTGCAGTATGCCCATATGGATGTTAGCAACACTACCAGCATAGAGAATTGAAAAAACAAAACAAAAAAAAAAACATCCTAGCCATCTTATATTTACATAGCAATCTGATCAATCTATCTTATTTGTTACAAGAAGAGAGAAGGAAATAAATACTACTAGAAACAACAGCCATGAATTGTAAGATTTTCATTATTTTTTTTTTTTGTGTAGGGAAAACATCGATAATATGCCTTGAACATCATGTCAAATAAAATATTTACTCTTTTTTGTAAATTATAAGACCTTGTTCCATTTTTGCCTATAAAATATATTTTCCTTATGTTTTTATCTTTATTTTTTTTTTATTGATGATATTTACAACTGTATTACAAGTAAAAATACATTCAGTAAATGTGAACAAAGGAATAAAATAGCATGAAATCACTTGTTGAGAAAATATCCACTGGTAGCACTCTAAAAATGTATTTGCAAAAGGAGATCTCGAGGCCATCTTCTTTTTAGACGCCTCGGAGGGTTGTCAGGGATCGAAGAGGAAGCAAGGTTAGATGGCGAGCAACGAGCGGGTTTGGATGGTTCTGAAGTTTTTTATAGAAGGATAGGTATCTGGATAGAAACATAAGGAACATTTAAGGTCGTTATGGATGATTTTGTTTGTGACAAATTAAGGAGCAGTCAGGATTTTACGAAGGTTTCTGGATTGTAAGGATTGGATACGAGAGGAATTCGATGGCTTAGTGAAGCCTCAGAGCTCAACTCCGTAAGTCCAAATAGGTCTTAATGTAGTCATGTATATGAGTCTTTTGTAATTGACTGGGAGCTTAGAGCATTTATCTAGTAAATGCTGGAGTAGTCGGAAACGTCGAGCTGTTTCTTTTCATTTCAGTCTGGTATGAGGATTCCAAGTTAGGCGTTTGTCTAAGTGGAGTCCTATGTTTTTATCTTAAATTAAAAAAAAGTTTGTTTATACTAGGTTATTTTTTAATTTTTTGTTTCGATTGTGTTTTTATATTATTAGTAACTAATAAATCGATATATAACCTTCGACTTCTTTAAAACTTTAGTAATAGTGTAACATAATGGATTTGGACTATTACTAACTTTTTTGATTGCTTTAATGTATTGTCAATTTAATTTTATTGATTTGACTGGACTTTACTATGTTTATGTCAATAAAACATCTAAATGTACCTATTCTTTAGCGTTTAGAACGAATGTATTATTTCCTTGAAATACATTCTTTTTATTATTGAAAGATTTTTATTTTTCGAGTTTTTGTTAACATCTGTTCTTGAGTTAGCAGTTTGGTTAATATTGTAAGTTGAGGTTAGATCTCAACATGTAGAAGAATTAAAGGTAACAATGACGAAGTGGCTCCCGAGATTCGAGACGTTCTGCTTCTGCATGAGCTTGATGACGGGATGCTGTGTCATAGGCCACCTGGAGACCCTCTTCGGCATAGCGACCATCGTCCAAGATCTGGTCATCCTCGAGGAAGCGGCCCCGGAACAGGATTCCGTAGTCATGTACTACGCCTTCTTGTCCGATCTGCTCCTCTCCTCCATCCAGGTAGTCACCGGGATTGTGCTCATCGTTGGTGTCAAGACTAAAAGTAAAGAACATCTCAAAATTTGGATCCAGGTTCATATCTTCCTCTTCTGGTTCGTCGTCATCGGCTACATCATGTCCGTCATCATCGTGCCCTTCACGAACGAGATGATCAACGTGGCCACCTTCGAAATGCTCATCCTGCTCTACACATTAAGATCGCTCTTGTTGTACGGTTTCTGCATAGTTGCTGTTAACAGTTTCTACATGGATTTATATCACCCTGACGAATAGGGCTTAGTGTTTTTAATAAAAGTTCAAAATAAAAAAAAAATAAGTTTGTCTATTTTACATTACACTCAATCCTACCTTATTTAAGTTCGGTGAAGAATATCCTTTGATTGGAAGGGACTTCTATTTTAAATTAAGTTACATTCACCCTAACTGTTTAATTACCCATTTTCAACATACCAAGAAATAACATATGCATTTTGATTTATTTAATTTATAAAAACATATCCATACATCTACAACACTTTAAGGTCATATGTCGTAACCTAATCCCTGTAACCATTTCTTTTTTTTTTTAACTATCTTCCTTCCGGAGTCTCCTTGCTGCTTTTGCCTCAAGTAAATCTATCTTCTTGCTTTCCAATGGTACATGCTGAAGTATTCTTTTAGGACATCGGCCGCCCATCATTCTCATTACATCCCAATATCAGTTCATGGTGGCATTTTCAAAAATACCACCTTTATTTCTTATATGAGGGGTTGGAATGATACTAAAGTAAGTTGGCTTTTTGTCCAGAAAGGTTAGTAAATGTATTTGAAACAAGTCACTAATTATATTTTTTATGAAGCTAAATTTTGGAAAATTATGGACCAAAATGACACCTACCCTTTTATAATTTAAATATAGTTACAACTTAATAATTTATGAATTCACAAGCTGATAGTTCGTCAAAGTTATTAGTGGTTTAAGGTTATGAAATGCCATTTAATCAATATTGGATGTTTACAAAACATACATTTTCTGGACAAAAATCCTCATGTATCTAATAAAAGATCTGGAATCACTTTTACTAACCTTTGTTGGGTACTTTAGACATTTATATGAACCAAAACATCACAATTCCTCTATATTTTAATCAATAATACTAAAAAAATACATATATTTAAGAAGATAACACCACATTCTATATCAGGTTGATGTAGGCATTGTAACTCAGTGGGGATTTCATGACATTTTTTAAGATATACTTACAATTTGATTTAGTATAACCTTCAACATTACTTTCCAAAGAATTTTGGTTGCTAGAAAGTATTTATGTTTAATTTTAAATGGTTATATTTATCTGATCAGATGATACAAATCTAATATATATTTTTTTATTTCAGGTTAGCTAAAAAAATATATCAACATATCCTGGAGTACAAGGTACTGTAATAATTTGTTTTATTGCTTGGTGTCTTAGTCGTTTAGTGAAAAAGTCGATGTTGCTGTTTTCGTCCTGGTTTGTTTCGTTGGTTACGGTAAAAGTTCACCGTTGCAACTTACGGTTGATGTTATTTGTGTTCAATTTTTCTGTACGTTTTGCCTTCATTATTGAAGGTATAAGCTTATGAAGAGAATTAATGAATTTTTTGAAAAAAAATAAAACAGAGTTATATTTTACCATTTGGTGGGTGGGAGGAGGGTAGAGAGAAATAGAGCTTATGGATATGAGCTTATTGATTAAAATAATTTAATTTATTTTATTTTATTTTTCTCTTAGAAGTGTATATTTATACTATTTCACCATTGCAAATAGTTTTAAGTATATAGTACATAGTTTTATTTGTTTTGTGTATAGGGTGTTTACATAACATTTTCTATACATTTTTTCTTATATTATTATTTTTTTGTTTCTGTTATAAACCTTTTTCTTGAGGTAAGCTTTTATTTTTGTAAAATCTTGTTATTATCAAGGGGATTTGTCTCTGAATGTAGTTATTTTCTATCTGTGTATAGATCTATCTATTTTTTTTCTATTCACGCGGGTTCAATATGTGAGCTATATTGGTTATAATTGTTAGTGGCAAAAATAAAACAATAAATAGAAAATAATATTAATATATATCCCCAATATATTTTTGAACTACCTATGCTAGAAATTTCATACGGTATGATTATTCTCTGGTAATTACTACCTTTACATAATAGTCATGTACTCCCAATTTAAAATTTTCTCTCTTCCAACTTCAGGGGTAGGTAGTACGAAATATTTTTTATAATGTTTAGGCGTTTTAATAGTTTTTTTCCACAACGAAATTCAATATAGAAATATAGTTGTATGCCAAAAAATTATTTTATCAAGAAAAAGTGGTAAACCAAAATTGTTCTTTTGAAACATAGGTACCTTTAGGTTATTTCATGGCTCCCGTCATCTACTCCCACAACCTATCCGTTCCCTGTTTCCTCTCTTATTTTCTCCTAATTGGACTAAAGTTGTGTGGTTTGCGGTGGAATCCCAATGGTACTCGAGGAAAGATTGAAACGATGACTCATGATCTCCTGCTTAAGATTCTTCGTTACTTCGAGGCAGTCTCAATGTCCCACCTTTACGACAAGTTAAAGTGGGACATACTTCCTTTCTTTCGACTCCTGCACTCTTCCTACACCTACAGTTCAAACCCATCGTCCACTCCAAGAAAACAAGATCCCATGTTTCCGACCTTTATACCCCTTCCTATAGAAATAAAATATTTTAACATTCTTTTATTACCCGATCCACTTCCTTCTAGAATTCCTTACCATCTGATATCCGCTATGTCTCTTCCTTGTCCTCATTCAAATATCTTCTTAATCGATTTCTTCTCACATGACGATTTACAAACACGAAATAAATTTTATGAATCGAATTTCGATTTAAGTGAATTATTGTTTAAATTATTTAAGTTTTAATTTTAAGAATCTACTCATTATGTTTATAGCGTTTTTTTATAATTTCTATTTTTATTTTTATTTCAAATATTTTTGTTTGCTTCTTCAAAATGTTTTTCTTCCTATTGTTTATATATTGTCACTAAAGATATTTTAGACATATATTGTTTAATTTTTATTAATTCTAGTTTTTGGCCAGATATAGTTTTTGTTTTTTGTTCATAATTTTTATTCTTAAAGGACCATATCCGAGAATAAAGTTTATTTTCTAACTATTTACATAGGGTACAAAAAAGTTCTTTTCTTTTTAGCACCTCGTTTTTCAATACCTAGCTCCTGACAGTCATATTACTAAATCATAAATATATTTATCTACTTTGTTATTATTGAATTGTGTACGAACTTTATTTGTTTGTTATGTCTTGCATTTGGAGGTTTTGTAAATATTTTTTTTTATTGTGGAATTGAAGTAGAGTAGCGTTGAGCTGCCACTTGGCTGATTGGAACACTAAACTTTCCCAACGACCACAAGGGTGTTGCCGAAGCTATCCGAATGACTAATGACGTACCCCGAGCATGCAGAACACGAGGAAGAGGAACCTAATGAACCCGTCCACGGTGAGGTACCTAGGGCACGGCTGACCAGGGTAAACAATATGATTAGGGTCGAGTTTGGCACTCGTTAAGGAAACCTATCTCTCTCCCACCCTCCCCAATCAGTTGAACTCCTCCTTACCCACCTCTAGGCTTAAGGTGTTAGATCTCTAGTTCAATCGCGCTTTCCTATTACTTAGTTTATTTTAGTTATAAAAAGCACTCATATTGATCGCATCAGTCCTACTTTATTTGATTTCTTACACCGACATTTCAGCTCTCAGGCCATTTTCGAGGGATGAAAACTTTAACAAATAAAAAAAATACCACAGCCTAATTATTTTTTCCATAATTATTGTCATATTATATTTATAACCATATACCTGTTTAAAAAAATATATTTAATACAATTGGACTCAATTTTCCTTGCCATCCTAACTTAATCAGACAAATACTAAACCTCCTTCTGTAAGGTTATTTTTATTTTTATTTTAAACTTCTTCATACTTCTAAATACTATTCTTAACTATTAAAAAATCCATTATTATACTATATTATCAAACTAGTTCACTACTATACTATACTATATTACTATATTATCAAGTTATTCACAGATAGTGTTGCCCAAAATCGGTCTTGGTCTTGCACTTTGCAAGACCAATACACAACAGAATACATAATACAGAATACAAAATTACGGTAATAGACTAAAAAGTAACTGCAAGACTATTGTGAAATTTACGCAAGACCAAGACCAAGAGCAAGACTGAGTGCGCAAGATCTATATATATATTTATTTATTTGACGCGAAACAGCCCTGAAGGAGTACGCGACTATGATACTAGTTTATATATATATATATATGTATGTAAATATAAATTATATTTAGCTTTGCCAGCTATTCTCTAGGAACGGATCTAATTAGTTGAGTTAATTACAGAATGTGCGAGTTCACTCTAACACAGCTGGAGATCTTTAATTAAGTTCCCTGTCTACCACTGGATTAACCATTCCTTATAATCCATTCCTTTTATTTTTTACCCAAAAACCCAGCAAGGACATGGTTATTGACATAACTTATATTACAGGCATTATTTTTTGTTTTTGTCCGCTCATGGCAGAAAACTTATTTATCTGTTTCATTGGCCGTGGGGCGACCCTGGGTCTGGCGACCTTCCTGGGGCACACCCAGCCTCTATAAAGTGGGAACCCTAAATTAAATGATTGATTAAGAGGGAAAACCTGGCGGTTGAGCGTGATCTCGGTCAAATCATCTCCTTGCACAACCGTTGACCTAGAAACAGTGCTTTCCCTAAATAGTACTGAACCCCAGACTCTTCAAGGGTTGTAGTGCTACAGAAAAAAAATAGTCCGAACTGCGGTATCGTTTATTTTATTTTATGTTACTACAAATAATACAATCTGAACTACAGAGTACATGTAAATTAAAGTTATACAATTTGAGCGACCAGTAGTGCAATCAAATAAACAGTTGTATAGTTTGTAAAATGGGGGTTGGTCCGCCGTTAGGGGTTTCATAGTTATTATTAAAAATCTATCTTATCCACACTTGCTGTAATAACTTCCCATGCTTTGTTTGGACAGTTAGGGTAAACATTTGTCACAAAATATTTCAACTTCAGGGATATTTAAGTGTCATCTTCATATAATTAAGTCCTTTTGATTGATCGATAGATTTTATTACCAATTAATACAATTTTTTTTCTATACATTAAAATTAAGATAAAAATAAAAACTTTTCATATAATATTTCTTCAATTCTTTTTTTCTATTTTATTATTTCAAATAAATAAATTTATTGCCGCTTATTTTGCATAATAATGTGATGTAGAATATACACTCATGTATATTTTGAGGATACAATCATGGACCTTTTATCCAACATCCTTCTCAAAACCATATTTTTGATACTTGATATTTTGAAAAATTAATCCAGGTAAAGTTTACGTTCTTTTTGAGCAAATATTTTAGACCCTTGTTAGTCCAGCAATATCATAAAATCTTTTCTGGAAATATTTGTGAATACAATAGTGTAAAAAAAGGGCAGTTTCAGTTAAATGCCCATGGTAAAAATTGGACTTGTTCACATGGAATGTTGTATTTATTCAAATTCTTGAAAAAAGTTCCGTTAAATGAAAAATAAGCAGTGATCGGGTTTGGTTTATAAATTGTCTTAAATGAATTACACATGATTATAATGTGTCGTTTGTTTGAGTGATAATGAATAAAATTGATTTCTAAGTCTACTTAACTTTTTTTTAAGTCGCCGAATCGATTTAACTTTCAGAAAGTTGCCTAAAAATAAAAATTCCGTAAGACCATAAATTTAACCTAAAATTGATAGGGAAAAAGTTCTAGTTTCAAAATAACTGAACAAATATCCGCAATAAAAATTCCATTGATACTGAATCGACTTAACTTTCAGAAAGAGTTGCCTAAAAATAAAAATTCCGTAAAACCACAATTTAACCTAAAATTGATAGGGGAAAAGTTCTAGTTTCAAAATAACTGAAAAAATGTCCGGAATAAAAATTCCAGTGATACTTTATACTAAAACGTTGTAATAATAAAATATTATGGTAATAAAATAATATGATATTTTGTACTTAAAATTTGTAATAATAAAAGTTTTTTTCCTTACCAAGTCCGGATTTTTTCTCTGATTGGCTGATGGACTCCAAGGTATTTATTACAAATGTTGCATTAACACAGTTGGTAATGTATACAGTGGCTTAATAATACAGTGCGGTCATATGGATTCGATTTCTGATTGGTTGGCCATCTTGGATCGTCCCTTGCTATCTG